CCGAAAGGTTCTTTATTTAGTGCAGCTAGATCGATTACCAGTGATTAATTGTAGGCGGTCTGCCTGGTGTCATCGGAATCATTTTGAAAATGTCCTACTGCGGCGCATGTGTTCTTGTGCATTTACCTTAATTTCTCAGTAAGCAGGGCACTGTTCTTGATAATATTGTCGTTTTAGATGTTATACATTGAGCTTTCACTCTGACGTAAATTGTTATTTGACTTTAGTGTCCCTTTAAGAATACCTACACTGGAGAAGCACAGATGCCTTCACCCAGCCCCAGAGACTATAACAGCCAAGAAAACGGAAATCTCAATGTCCCCTTCACATTCACAGAACACTACGCCACTACTCAGATATTTAAGAAAACCACAGCACCAGCTCCTGATCAGATTACCAACAGAATGCTCAGAAACTTCAGTGATGCGACCATCCGGAGGTTGACAGATTTCTTTAATGACCCGGTATGGAAGCCCAATGATCGACTACCCTCGGAATAGAAAACGGCGAACGTAATTCTAATACCGAAGCCAGATAAACCATGCGAACTACGACAACTATGACCCATCTCCCTTACATCATGCCTGGGCAAACTTTTTGAGCGCATAGTCAACAAATTAGAGACTTACATAGAGCAAAACTACCTCCTTCCGTACACAATGTTCGGCTTTAGGAGAGGAGTATCGGCTCAAGACGGTTTCCTACTGCTAAAGTGGGATTCATTCACACGAGGGAGGAATACACGGGGGATAAAGGCGGAGCCTAGTGACATTAACAGGCGAGGATAAATCCCCCCTAATGTCCCTCACTCACACGGACAAGGCGAACGGTGGAGGTGATCAGTGTGGCTGGAGCCTCCATCATACAATGAAGCGGGAGCACTGAAGAATTCTTCGACCCCCAGCCATAGATATTGGCAAGCTTTTGTCTTGTGGGGAGAAGGGGGGGGGGGGGGGGTTCAAAGCCACATTGTGTCTTGAGTGGAGAAGGAGGAAAGCGTTGTTGTATCCTGGGTGAGGAAAGTGCTGGTGCGGTTTGAGGTAAGTGCCACTTTTGCAAACCCCCACCCATGCCACCTTGCTGCTTTTAGAAACTTTCCTGTTTATGTTTTTTTTTTTTGTGTGAAATGCTGACGCGGTGTTGCCCTTGGTTTGACTCGCCACCACAAGCTTTTCTTTTTTGCAAAGACGAACTCCCCCAAAGTAAAATTCCGAGCAGTGTCACTGACAATGGTTTTTTTTTTATATTTTTTTCTCACTACGAAATTGCTCACAGCTTCTCTGACTCGTCAAATACTACTATTGGATTGGTAGATAGGAATTTCAATTAGGTATCTTTCAATGGGTTGGCTTTCGGTGAAGGAAGGAATTACGCTATCATAGCATTTCTCTCATGAGAACATTGATTGATACATGGAGTTTAACGTCCCAAAACCACCATATGATTATGAGAGACGCCATAGTAGAGGGCTCCGAAAACTTTGACCACTTGGGGTTTTTTTAACGTGCACCGAAATCTGAGCACACGGGCCTAAAACATTTCCGCCTCCATCGGAAATGCAGCCACCGCAGCCGGGATTCGCTCCCGCGATCTGCGGGTCAGCAGCCGAGTACCTTAGCCACTAGACCACCGCGGCTGGGCTCTCATAAGAACAACTGAGAATGAAAGGGATCAAGCCTATTAGTATTTGACAATCATCTGCTCAAACATTTCATTATAATTTCGAAACACAAGGTAATAGAAGACCACCTCTGTCTTCACTACGCAAGCACAGCCTAAGATTCTGCTGCATCAGTACAGCCGATAAAGTACAATGTGAAGTATGTCATGTTTCTGAAAATAAAAAGCAGCCCTCGTATTCTACGACTCCCTATATTTTAAGCATCTCATCTTGAATAAAGGGGCCCATTAAAAAATTTATAAAGTAAGACATCTCCATCATTCTGAACAAGCAGAACAGTAGCAGCAACAACAAAAGCGGGCGATGTCACAATTCTTATCAGAACAAAACTAGATATCACTCCTTAGAATGGTAGCGCTCCATCATCTGCTTGGCTATTATCTCCCACACACCATTCTGTTAGTTTTACTATAGTCATCGGTAGAGATGTCCCACAAGCAAGAATATTCTTCCACGAGAAGAAAGAAAAAGGTTGCTTCATCGTTCATTTTCGCCATCACGGTGCATGCAAGTCCTGAGCATGATTTGGAACGGCTGCCGCGTTAGGGTGGCTAGAATGGGCCTAGCCGCATTCTGCAAGAGGGAAGGCTACAAGATGTCCAGAGACCCACCCGAAATTCCGCTACATTCCCCACAGCACGATGATCATTTGACCGGTAAGAGAAACGATCCCCGCCTCCTCGGAGGAGCCACGAGGAAGTAGTGTCGACACACCCGTGACGTCGTCCTCACGAGATGGGCCATCCTCGCCTCCTCAGGGGAGTTCTCCCTCGTGTGAATAACGCTTAAAGGACGAAGTCTTCAACCCACCATCAGGAAGTCCGATCAGAATCTTACTCGCACTGTTACGAAAGACGGCGATGCCAACACGGTCCCGAAGGCACCACTGCTTCGAATTCCGCCGGGAAGGTCACCAGCCGTTTGGTAGCGTAGGTTTCTCAGCTCGCGACTGCTTCTGCGCAGAGCTGATAGACGAACAGACGAGACGACGGTGCGTTAACAAGGTTTACGTACTGCATATATACAGAGGCGTTACAAATTCGGCACTGGGGCCGACAGCTTAGAGACTCGAAGAGCCGAGCTCCCTTCTCTGACACATAGGTCTACTGCCGCGACGCGCCACAGGGCTTTTTTTTTATATGCACCGGGAGGATTCTTTGAGTAACCAAATGTCCAACCAGAAGCGCCGCTGGCCGTGAGGTCAGAATCCTCCAATGGTGTCGCCGCTGGGCCGCGTCATTCTCATCGAATCTGGAGCCGCTGCGCCGCACGTGGCTGCACCCAAGGACGAGTGACGTCGCCACGCATTGCGTCAGACTCGCCAGACAGGAAGGCGCCGATTGCTTTGACGGGCTCACTGTGCGTGCGCGACAGAAAGGCACCACCGCGTGATGACGCCGTTGAGTTGTTCGCGTCAGGCGGGCTCGCGTGCTGGCCTTGACACAGATAGCCTTTTTCAGAGGCATAGACGTTCGGTGTGGACTCGCAGGCATAACAGCACTCAACACTCAAAGGGCATTTGACACTATCTCGCACTTTGGCATTCTTGAGGGGCTAGAAGACGTCGGTTGAGGAGATTGGATATATTGCTACGTGCAAGACTTTTTGAGTGACCGTACTGCCAGTGTTGGAATCAGTACGACACGCTCACTCCCATACGACCTTCCGGGGCACCCCTCAAGGCTCGATACTATCACCACTCCTTTTCAATGTTGGCGTACAGAAACTGGCACTACAACTGGAAAAATACCAAGATCTCGGATGTGCCATATATACACGGGTGACATCATGCTATGAGCCACTCGAGGTTCGTATGGCAAACAACAAGACACCTTCCAAAGGCCCACAGACATGGTCCAGGCCTTCACGAAAGAAGCAGGTATAAAATGCGCCCCCTTTTAAGTCAGCTTACATACACATCAGACCAAAACACACACAGGCGAATAGAGCACCGACCCTACAACTTTTTCTCGATATTAAACCCATCAATAGGACATCAAACATTTGAGTTCTCGGGACGTACATACAAGAAACGGGCAGCATCTGAATCGCCCTCTGCAAACTCAAGCGCACAGTACGCAGCATCACCGCGCTCATCAACAGAATCGCGTGAGGCAAAGAAAGAATGACAGAGGCAGACACCTTGCAATTGATGCATGGCTTTATCATTAGGCACGTAACTTACGCGCTGCCTTTTCAAGCCACGCGCCATACCGAGACCGACGAGGTGAACAAATTCGAATTGCATGTAAGGCGGTGTTAGGCCTTCCGGAGAGCACCAGCACAAAACACCTACTTGAACTAAGAATGCACAATACCTATAAAGAATTCGCCGAAGCCACGATCATCGCTCAGCGAGAGCGTCTTAACACGACACTCCAGGGACGTTGTTTCTTGAGGCGCCTGCGCTGCCCCCATGCGCCGCAGTTTTGGCGCCACAGGTGGTAAGACCGAACTGCTACCTCACACACTGCGAACGCGGCTACATGTAGACCTCATTGCATGCAACATGAACCCTACATGCCACGCAACACGAAGACGAGCAAGGGCAACCACTTTGCTAAGGAGGCAGGACAACCCGGACACGTATTTAGCAGACGCAAGTCAATACCTACACATGAAAACACATAGCCCCACTTTCGCGGCGGTCACGATAAATAGGAAACGCACGATCACAGCTGCATCCTTACACACTTCATCCATTGCAATGGCAAAAGTCACAGCCATCACCCTGGCCATACGAGCCGCCGAAGCCAAAGAACAATCAGCATATATACTCAAAGACTCGCAGGATGCATGTCACCTATACCTGTGCGCAGTTTTGCCGGCCAGCGTCATATGCATTCAGGGACCGACCCTCACAGAGGACCACAGAATAACCTGGTGCCGGCACGTGCCACAGTGAATGGCAATGACCGGGTGGACCACCTGGCTCGAGACATGCCAGGTCGAGCCTCAGAGCACTCCACCCCAAAGAACGCCCCCCAACCCGGCAAACCGCACAAAACTCTAGAATTCCAAAAGTACGGACATTGAACCAAGGCTCCGCCCCACCACAAGCTCAATAAGGGCCAAACAAGGAACTGACGCCTATTGCAGACCAACACATTTCCTCATTTGCAAAGACTACACAAGATGTAGCCCGACAGACATGCCGCTAGTCAAACACTCACTCGCACATTGGCCGTGGGAGGCGCAACTCTCTGACCTGGACTTGGGAAGCCAGCTGGCAACCCTTGACGGGTCTGTGTTTGATGGGTCTGTTTTCAGCAATTAAGTCGGACTGAGCATATGAAGCACAGAGAAGCAAAGTACTCACCTCCTCCTTCATGGCTGCGAGGACAGCGTCCTTAGATGGCTCCAATTTGTAAGGCTGTAAGAAAATGAGAAATAATAGCTGGTTTCTTCTGCAGCTCTAATGACCTTAAAAGAACCCTGCAACACTTTTTAAGTAATCGTTGAATGGCTTCTTAAAAAAAATCTAATTGCCTAACAATTTGACTGCCACAACAACTTTTAGAATCGTTTAAGTACAAGCAGAGTTACAGGCATTAGCCGTACGAATCAAGAGCTTTCTCTCTTTTTTCGCACTAGCGAGCATGCAGACAGCTACACAAGGAGGGGGATAGCAAGGGTGCAAGATGCACCCTTTATCAGCGTGCATCACCTTTTCGACCTTTCTTTTCTTTTTTTCTTTGAATCACGGTTTACTGTCCTTCTCTTTTTTTCTTTGAACCCCGGTTTACTTTCAGTGTGACCGCGAGAGCACGTAAGGACACAAACACATGCCGGCATCCTATACCAGGCACAGTAACTATGCCGATGCCGGCACCCTATACCAGGCACAGTAACTATGCCGCTCATGATGCTCAAATGAGTCAACAGCCATGGACTTAGGGTATCATCATCATCACTAACCTGACTATGCCAACGGCAGGGCACAGGCCCCTTCCACGTTCTGTCAATCAACTTGGTTCTGTACTTTGTGCTGCTACATAATAGCTACAAACTGTTTAGTCTGATCTGCCCACTTAATTTTCTGTCTCCCTCTCATGAGTTTGTCTTCTCTCAGAATCCCACCAGTTACATCAAGTAACCAGCAGTTATCCTGTCTACGCTACATGCCCAGCTCATGTCCACTTCTACTTCTTGATTAGAACTACGATGTCTAACTCCCCAGACCCACTTTGCTCTCTTCCTGTCTCTTAAGCTATTCTTTTCCATTGCTCACTGCATCATCCTCAATTCAAGTTGCACCCCCTTGATAAGCCTTCAGGTTTCTGATCCGTAGGCAAGTACCACTAAGTTGCAGCTGTCACATACCTTCCTCTTGAGGGATAGTAGTTGACTATCATTCATGATTGGAGAATGCTTGCTAAATGTGCTCCACCCTATTGATACTCTTCTAGTTATTTTGCTCTCATGATTTGGCTCCGCAGTTATTTCAAACTTCCAGTCTCTTGCCACCTAGCGCTAAGCACTGTTCTCTGCTGAGACTGTTGCACATTGCTCTAGTTTTAAGCATATTGATTTACATACCTACTCTTCTGCTTACGGTGTCCGATTCCATAACCATGACTTGTAATTCGCCTCCCAGTTACAGATCAATGCAATGTCATCAGTGAACTGCAGGCTACTGAGATACTCTCCGTTAACTCTTATCCATAACTATTCCCAATCTAGGGCCCTGAAAACTTCCTGTAAACATACGGTGAATAGCATTGAAGAGATCGTGTCACCCTACCCTACAACCTTCTTTACAAATATTTCATCACTTTCTTAATGGAGGACTACGGTGGCAGTGGATCCGCTCCCCATTTCTTCCAGCATGTTTATATATGCTTCGTCGATGTCCCGATTCCACCATGCCTGCATGACTGCTGATCTCTCAACCGAATCTAATGCCTTCCCGTAATCTATGAAGGCTCTGCATAGGGGTTGGTTGTATTCCACGCATTTTTCTATCACCTGACTGGAAGTGCGGATATGACCTACTGTTGAGTAGCCTGAACGAAACCCTGCTTGGTCCTTTTGATTGACTGAACTCTAATGTCATTTCTATTCTTCTAGCTGTTATTTTTATAAATAGCTTATAGACAATGAACAGTAAGCTGATTGGCCTGGAATTTTTCAAGTCCTTAATATCTCCTTTTTTATGAATCAGGATGATGTTGGCATTGTACCGATTCTGGTACCCTCCCAAGAAGAGAGAGACACTTTGTATACAAAATGGCCAGTTTTTCTAACACCATCCATCCACAGTCTTTCAACAGGTCTTTGTGTATATGGTGCAGTAATTTGAGTACATGGCATGATATATTGTGAGAAAAGGAAGCGATTTCCTAATTATTAATTCTAGGCCACCTGCTGTACTTAATGTTTGGCTGGCGTGTTTTTAGGAGCCACGACTACCAATGGGTAGTGTTTTCTTGCCATGTTCAAAGTGTTGCAGTGTCGCTTTAAGCTTATGTGTAATAGTTAAAGTTACTGAAAAATCGACCCAATTAAGGGAAATGATAATGCAGAAACAATGCCACAATGCTGCAGTATGTGTTCACATGAATCTACTAATGTACTCCTTTTTTATGTGCCTAAGGCAAAGCGACTTTTCTATGCTTAGAAGCCCCTTAAGGGGTAAAAATATTGGCAAACTATTTCGCTTCAGCATGCAGCTGGGATTACATCATTTTACTAAGCTGTGTGCATCTACAAAGTGCATTCAAAAGTAATGAGCTGAGGAAATGCGATTATTTTATGCCTTCTTTTCCTTTTCCTACTTGGTCAGTGGTCTCAGCAAAGCACTGCCTGTGTAATCTATCACCAGGTGCACCAGGCGAGACGTGTGTACAATACCAAAAAAGCATAGTCAAATGAAAACTATCCTCCCGTTAAGAGGGCCTAGCATGAAACACATGCAGTGTGAAAGCAAAAATGAATTTGCAATAGCTATTGGCTGTAATACGAAAATGCCAAATAAATGCAAACTAGCTTATAATTTTACCCACACCATTCTGCAACGGAGGGGGGGGGGGGGGGGGGCTGCATTATTTTTCCCATTTTTTTGCACCAAAAGAAAAAAACACATCGCGAAAAACAAGAGCGGGACAGGAGGGGGGGCTCAATCACAAGCATCCGCGTTGCGGTCGTTTTAATGACTTGGAGTGGCCAAAAACACGAGGGTAGGGTTTCCTACTAAGCTGAGAGTGTCAAAGTAGGAGTGCAAATACTCCCGAAATTTCGCATCATCAAAACAACTAGCAAAATTTTTCCCTCAAAACAACTCGCATATGTCTTGGGACACACGTGAACGGACAGGATGGCACAGCTAGCTGCCACTAAAACGCAGGTCAAAGCTTTGCTCGCTGTTGAATTTTTTGGAAAGAAACGCCAAAACACTTCTAGCCTTTTTACGTCTTTACTGCGTTTAATCTACCCTCAGAGCTCGTCGATCACTATCTTTCCGCGACTGCGGTTTTGTGCTTAGCATTTAGGGCAAACGGTAGTTCCGTTTTAAATCCACATGCACTGGCCATAGGCCTTTTAAACTTAGTCATTTTATGCTATCTATGATCGCACCTGCCGCTGTTTTGTCCACAAAGTTGGTGGAAAGCAGCGCTGCTTTGACTGGCCAAGCATTGGATGCACGCACACTTTCAGAATCCTGTCATTAACGTTTTCGCCATACATGATCGTGTTCAAGAATGATCACAGTTTCATCCATAGCGGTTGTGGCAACGACAACCACATGCTTTATAGAAAACAATGTGTGCGCTGGTTGCATACATGCTTTTGAAGCTTCGAGCACGCAGCTCTCGGCTTTTGTTCGACGGTTTTGGTACTAAAGTCCATATCATTATCATCATCACATCATCATCATCAGCAGCCTGACTACGTCCACTGCAGGACAAAGGCCTCTCCCATGTTCCACCAGTTAACCCGGCCCTGTGCTTGCTGCTGCCAATTTATACCTGCAAACTTCTTAATCTCATCAGCCCACCTAACCTTCTGTCTCCCCCTAACTCGTTTGCCTTCTCTGGGAATCCAGTTAGTTACCCTTAATGACCAACGGTTATCTTGTCTACGCGCTACATGCCTGGCACATGTCCATTTTCTCTTCTTGATTTCAACTATGATATTCTTAACCCCCGTTTGTTCTCTAATCAACTCTGCTCTCTTCTTGTCGCTTGAAGTTACACCTACCATTTTCCTTTCCATTGCTCGCTGCGTCGTCCTCAATTTAAGCTGAACCCTCTTTGTAAGTCTCCAGGTTTCTGCTCCGTAGCTTAGTACCGGCAAGATACAGCTGTTACATACCTTCCTCTTGAGGGATAGTGGCAATCTACCTGTCATAATTTGAGAGTGCTTGCCAAGTGTGCTTCACCCCATTCTTATTCTTCTAGTTACTTCAATCTCGCGGTTCGGCTCCGCGGTTATTACCTGCCCTAAGTAGACACAGTCTTTCACAACTTGAAGTGCTTTATTACCTATCTTGAAGCGCTGCTCTGTTCCGAGGTTGTTGTACATTACTTTTGTTTTCTGCAGATTAATTTTAAGACCCACCTTGATTCCATATCACCCGCCGCAATTATAAAAGTGTTCAGACCATTCAAATTTTGGCCCAATGGACACAGTGGAATTTGACTGGGGACTTTCACATATTCGTATCTGCCACAGTTTCACATCACTGAGATTCTACTGCACGATTAGATGAATGTCTCATAAATTTAGTTATAATAAGATGCGGTGGGTTCGCAACAAGCCTGGAGCCCACTGACCCGCATTTTTATCAATGTGGCCAGATCATGAACGGAAATTTTGATTTCCAGGAAATTTTCACGAAACAAAAAAACCGGTCCAAAGCCGGGAGTCTCCCGGACAATCCGGGAGACTTGGCAGGTATGCTAATGCAATAAGAAGTGAAGTCTCAGTTGCTTTTACAGATTTCTACTATGGCATGCTACAATGTACTTGTTAATGACACTGCTGTAAAGTTAGACCTTCCAATGCAAGAAAGCTTTTCCAATTTCCAATTATTACTCTACAAAGAATAGGCAAATACAAAAAGGGTTTTCATCAAGTTAAGCTTTCGAAAGAATAAAATTGAGTTGCGTGTTGTGCTCTTTTCCGTCCCTTTGGTGTTTTTTTCGCCCCTGTCTAACTATTTGCGCCATCATTTCAAGTTAAATAAGGCACTAACTGTATATGAACTTTTTATAAATAAAATTTTGCTTAAGATAGACCCAAATGAACATCTGAAAAATACAGTTACAAAAAAGTCAATAACAGCTACTCAAACAAGAGTTTACAAAAAATACAATAATGGCTGCACCTTTTCTGAAGCTGCCTCAGCTGAAGGAGAGGAGGTCTTCAACTGCCGAGAAGGACCTGCTGTTTCCTGTGCTGAAGTCGTTGGTGCAGCCACTGACGTATGTTGAGAAACTACTGGCACTGGAGCTGACGACCCCTGGGAAACTATAGCGTCTTTTCCTGCTGCCTTTGAAAGGATGGAGCCAGTTGGGGTTGATGAAAGAGCAGATGAAACACTAAAAACTGTAGCAGCTTTTGTAAGAGCTGCACTTGGCACTGTAAATGCTGCTGATGGTATGGAGCCTATAGCTGGTGGCGTGGAAGTCGTAACACATGAAAATGAGGGCACCGGCACCGAAAACAGCCCTTGGCTAGAAGTTGTGGACGCAGTCAAAGATGTTGACTTTGCCGCTGGGGGCACAGAGGCTGGAGCAAAAGAGGAAGCATTCCCTCCTCCACTAGCACCAAATGAAAACACACTACCCCCACTGGAAGATGCTGTCGTTGCAGACGAAAGATGTTGTTGTTGCAGAGAAGATGCTATCGTTGGTGTCGTTGTAGAGAACAGTGATGTAGGTGCAGCAGTGTTGCCAGAGGCAACTGCAGCTGCTGCACAAGATGAGGCTACAGGTATGAATGAAGTAGCTGTGGAAAATGGCTGACTGGAGAAAGGGGGAAATCCTGCAGCTCCTGCAATAAAAAAAAAAGATGTATCCATGCAAAGTTCCATAAATATCTTTACAGAGCTGGAAAACAACCTAAAGAACTGTCCAAGTCTGTCTGTTTATAAATGCCTTATCGAACTCCAACACTAAAGCTCCTAGTCATGCGGGCATGATGAAAATTTAGTAGCCTATGAGCTGTGGATGTTGCAATTCAAAAGTAAGGGCTGCACATTTGAATTTAATTCTAATTACCATATAAATTATCATTAAAGGAATACTGAACAAAGGCTGGAAAAGATTACTGAAATACTGAAATTCTACTCAAAAGACACAATTGTTCTGATAAACAATTTATTTTACATATTTTTGAATAACTGGCACTATTTTTGGAGGATTGTCTGCATGCAGAGGGAGCAGTGATGTCAAATCCACTATGGCAGATGCATGTGCTCTTGTCCTTTGCATTCTCCACCTCTCCTTTCCATCCCACTCCTCCCTTTCACAAAAGCACTGAGATGTGCAAGAGGCTTTATCCTACGCAAGAGCGTTGTTCGTCATGGTTCTAGAAATCACAGTTGGGGCTGAGCAGGTTCAGAGTCGCAGGCGATGGCTGGTATTGTTGGCATGCTCTTTTAAGGTGCATTAAACATCACCAAACATCACCTCCTTTAGTTCACTGTGTAGCTAATAGACGAGACAGTTTGTAAAGAACTCATTAAATTCATTATTTCCCGCTAGCTTCTGTCCGAAATGAACTTTGTGAACAATACCAACTGATTTTGGCACCCAATCTTAGTTTGGCTGAAAGTTTCAGAAGCGAAACTTTTGTCCAGAATCTCTTCTAACACACACAAGATCAAACTAAGATCTACTATGTACTCTAACCAGTAAGTGCATGTTGCCCCCAATAATGAAAAAGACGAAGCTGCACCACGGTAAATGGAGCTAAAATAATCTACAAAGAAGTCTGAGACAATTATAAAAAACTTTCTTTGTTTTCTGGTTTTGTGCAACAGAAGTTAAACTATGGAGTATATTGAACATCAGTAGGGGTCACAATGGCAAAAGCCCAATGTATTGATCCAGTCTCTGAACAAAAACCAACAAAACAAAAACCCATGTTGTTCACAACTCCAGAGGAGTTACGTTTGTTGAGCCATTGCAACAATGCACTAGGAGAAAGCACATGTGGGTTCCTGATTATTTAAGTAGGTATACAGTGTGGTGTTGACATAAGGTGATAATGACCCATGTCTTGCCAAACAAATAGGTGGACACTCTACAAGATAGGGTTTCTTATTAAATTTTTTCAGTTTCACATGCCAAAAACATCATATTATTAGGCATACCGATATGTCGGCAAACTCATACCCCTGTCACACTTCGCAACTTAAGTGTACTTTGGGTGAGCGCACTTAGGCTCAAAAAGTATCACTTTAGCGGTCCACTGCTACATGAGATAGGTACTTTGGAAATGACGGCAGTGACAATGGGTCTTTTTTCAGATCCGAACAGCACCTCCAGCGGAAATCACTGAAATCAAAACACTTGCCTTGCATGAATAGACAATATCGGGGGCCGAGTATTTTTCGTGATAATTTGCAAATCTCACCACACAGTGATCCCAAAAAACATGGAGCCCGTGGTGTCACCACCACAGCACATGCGTAGACTAGTCCCCTGGAAAAGGCCCATTGACGGATTAGTAGCACCACATGTTATTTTTGCGCCCATATCTCAGTGTCCGACCATGTTGTCTTCATGAAAGTAGCACCAGTGGCACATGCCATAGCAAATGACTAGAGAACAACTGATCTACACTTGTGCAAGTGTGCAAGGAAGTACACAACGCGATAGACATGGCCATAGCACGATTGCATGCCATGTGCTCCCGCATCCCTCAGTTGGATGTGGCCACAAATTGCCTGAAGGCGAGAATAGCAAGGTTTTGTGTTGTAGTATGACTAGTTTTAATATGTAGCAGTACTCCTAATAACAAGAACAATGGTTGAAAAAGATACTATGAGTACCTCTTTATGCCATGGTGCATTTATGTGCAAGCCACTGCTACCGAGGCTAGACACTTGGTTGCAGCAAAGTGAGGTTGGCGAACACCCTTGCCAGCAAGTGTGCTTTGGAGCGTGTGACACCAAAACTTCCTCGTGTGACAGCATGTAAATGACAATCGTGGCAAAGTGGACTCACTCAAAGCCCACTTAAGTTGCCATAAGTAACAGGGGTATCACTCACGAGTAGACTCAATCAGACAGACTCAAGACTACCTTGCGAGTCTGAGTGAGTCTAGATGGGTTTGAGTTTGAGTGCGGAAAACTTTTAGCGAGCCCAGGTATGAGCGAGTCCGGTTGAAAAAAAATATTGGTGAATCTGAGTCTAAGTAAGCCGTAAACTCAAAATGTATTTCCTAAACGAGTCTGAGTGAGCTGCGCCTTTTACTGCCAACTTATGATCCTACCTACTAATGTTCAGCATTATTATCAGCCTTATATAGGCTTATGTTATTACTCACGTTTATTGGCACATACCTCAATACACTAATATTCATGCGCCGCCTCAGTATTTATCAGAGGCATGAATGAAGATGCCATAACCTCCCCCTGCTGACTCGTACTTGAAAGAAGATTGAAAGGTGTATCTTAGATCCTCAATAAGCAAGGTATTGGCTTTAGAGAACATTCACACTACGTATGATCAAAAAATACACTAACTCTAAAGGATCCTCAAGTCACATGAGGCATTGCCATCATTATCGGCAGAGGGTGGGATGGGACAGGGTTAATCCCCTCTTCCCCCTGCCTCGCATATAGGAAACTACTACACTTTTAATAAAAATTATTTATTCATAACACAATATGATTTAAAACAGTAATTCAATACTGACTCAAGCATCACTTTACAGGTACGATTTTATTATAAAAATTTTTCTTTACTTGCCTGTGGTTGTAAGCTGAGGAGCAGTACCAGATCCTACGGATGGTATTCTAAACACAAAAATAAGGTACATATTAGTAAAAAAAACCCACATGGTGACATTACAAACATCCTTTCCAGCCTCTACTTTTTGATGAAAGAATTACGAACACAACTAGTTAATGTGGTAGCTAAAATTACAAATAGCCAGTGGGTAGGAGCCGACACGCTTTTCTCTAAGCTTCACCAGTTTTTATTCACATGCTGTGACAATAATAGTGATACATCCAACATTGCCCATAGGGTTATGCGGGGTGACGAAATTAAAGAAATTTGCTAGCACAAGACAGGGTTCAAGTTATTAATGTTAGCGCTCTTAAAGTGTGCATTACAAGGGTGCAAAAGGAACTTTCTCTCTTCTTTTTAGCTGCCGGACGTTGGTTCACTCATAAATGCACGTCAACGTGCTGTCCCACAAACAGCTTTTTATGCACCTTGAGGGCACAGCATTTTCATGGATGAACATAATCATTCAAATGCATAAGGCCGTACCAAAGAACAACTTAGAGAAGATGGTGACATTGCCGCTAAACAATATTTGACCACGCTACAGAGCTTGCATCGGTGCGTACCATCAACCACCACTGTTGTAGCTGAAGGGGCTGAATTTGTTTATTTTGAAATCTTCAATACTCGATTAATGAGGATGATTTGATGAATATGATGGGGTGCAAGAAGCAAGACAAGGCTACAGACTATTTTCCCGTGAAATAAGGTGCGGTATCTTGCAAAAGAAGTTGTCACCTTTTCTTAAGCATACTGTGAGCGGATCATCATGTTAACTCTTATTACAATTTCCGAAAGCTATTTCGAGAACTGCAATGCAATAATATAAGCCTTAAATATGCCTATTTCTTATATTGAATTGTGTATGTATTGGGTGATCCTGATCGAGTTTGATATAACCGGGATCAACTGTAATTAGATAACATGATAACGATGTCTCGACAATGAACTTGAAATCACTATAAAGTTGGTAACACCTGCAAAATAAAAAGTAATCTTACATTTGTGTATGTTACCCTTCATAGTGCCCAGCCATATGCCAATATTCTGGCCAGGAACCTCCTTCCCACTGTTCTGACAAACAATGAAATATTAACTTTAAACCAACTTTAAGAACAATATGAAAAACTGTCTGGATTGTACCTAATTGAACCTAATTTTAAATTCTTTTAAATTTAAAAACACCGCTTCTCCCCTAAAAATATAGCTAAAGCACAACTGCTCTATAACATGTACCTAATATGGCTAGCAGCTGAAACTGCTGCTGGAGAGGGAGCGGCATGCCCGACAGGCAAGAATCCAGTTGACGTGGTTGGAGCCAGCTGTTGTGGTGCCTGTTGCATTTGTGGCTGCGGAGGGTTGCCTATTCAAAGAAAAAAAGTACACAAAGAATGGTTTGACCTTTATCCCTCATGTGTACATATGCAAAAACAAATAAACAGAACACAAGAATAATGCTACCATAATTGTGATATTTTAGGCAACCGCTCTATTGTCAGCTACTAGAGTAAAAACTTTATGCAATTCTTTTTTATGGCACTAGCTCCTGGCGATTTAATTAAAGGTTGCAGTGCTGAAAGCCCCCAGCCTCCCACGTATGCACGTTTTTTCATTCTTTTGTATTATCCGTGGGTGCAGCTGGTAGTACAAATGAACGCAAGTGTGTGTGTACGCAGGCAGCTGGGGGCCCAAGCAGTAAAACTCTCTAATGTTTATTGTTTGGCGACTTCCGGTCCACTTTTTATCAACCGGAAGTTGAGATTTTCTGCGATGTCTAGGAACCCTGAATGAAATAAAGCTAATATAATAATGAATACCTGGTTCGTATATGCAGCATCTGGGACACCAATCAAACAGCACTAATCAACACACTCGATTCAGTTCAGAAACGCACTGCCCAGCTTATGTTGTCCAAATACCCCCGAGACACTTTTATATCGACAATGAAGAACACACTACAACTGCCTTATCTGTCTTTACGTCACAAATATCTTTGCTTTTGTCTCGTTCACAAAATTTTTCATTAAAATGAAGATCTAAAAGCCATTTTTTTCTCACACCTAAGTACATTTCTTTTACAACCACTCTTTTATCCCTCAAACCAGCAAAGAATTGAACCACTTTCCTGCCTTCATCGCAACAATTAATGATACCAACTTCAAAAGTACAATTCAAGATAAGGTGTTTTGTTCATTTATATTCTTAGAAAAGTATTATTGTCCATTTGTATATGTATTACTAACCACTCCTTTCTGTAATGCCCTCGGGCTCAGAAAGCATAGCCAATAACAAATAAATAAGTAAATAAATAAATGCTGTTTTGGACCTGAAATTTGGGCAGAATAACCAAACATTAGAGGCCAAAGATCTTTAGTATCCATAATTTCGGGTTTTCTCATACATTCACTTTTAAAAGGCAAATTTTGAACTCCAGACACGAAGAGAGCACACCTTTGTCCGCCACATCAGTTGGCCTTCCGCTAAAGTTGAAAGAGAAGGAGAAGCTGAGGACATAGCATTTTTAATTTTCACGTGTAAATGTAGTCGACAACACTTTCGTTGCACCAAGTCATGTAAACACAGTTTGGCCTCTGCATTGCTTCATTGTCAATAAGTTACTAAAGAACAAGCCTGCGCTACTGCATCGTAGACCTAACTAAAGAAACACTTTCATCTTGCTATCTCATAATACACTTAATACACTTAAGCACGTCTCCAACTTTTTTCTCTGCAATTTTGCTTCAAAGTATTCAAAAACTATTCTGGAAATGTTAGAGAAATATTAGAAAAATATTCTATTCAATTTGCACTCACACTTCAATATTCCAATTAGCTCACACCCAATATTTTGCTATTCGCATAGCTCTGGTTCACACCATTATCTTAGCGCAATATCCGGAGCCCTCCAGCAAAGTGGAAGGCCCCAGAAATCTTGATTACCGGGGTACTTTTAAGGTGCACCCAAATCTAAGCATACAGTCCTCCAGTATTTTGGCCCCATAGAAATGGGGTCACTGTGGCCAGGATTTAATCATACAACCTGCAGGTCAGCAGTGAAGCCAATGTGGTGAGTTCACAAGTTCAGCCGTATACAAGACCTAAACTGCTAAGCTACCAACATCTAACAGAATTTTTTTTCCGGAAGTGATGCGGCACCTTCACAGAAATAAGGGAATGATGAGTGTAGTTCGCAGGCAGTGCTTTCCCTTTGTCTTGTTCACTTGAGGTGGCTCAGAAATTATTAGACGGTTAATTTATTGCAATGTGTCACACGAAGTAAAAGAGACTTTTGCTATATGCTTCACAAGCCACAAGGTGATAAAGCTTCTCTAGTACAGTCGAATGCCACTACTACGAAACTGACGAGACGCGATAAAATTTTTTGTCTCGGAATTTCGTTGTAGTGAAATATTATCTATAGACCACAAAATTTGGTAAGATCTAATGATTATGACTCGTGCTCCCAGCAAGCGCATGCATTTACTCTCAATAACTCGGACGTACATGGCCGAACACTGAGTGAACATATTTTCTCGCGTATAACGCTATCAAAATATATACAGAAAATTTGGAGCTGAAGTCTGGGTGCAAGTTATACGAAGATTTTGATGCATAAGTTGGCTTCACGGCACAGCAAAAAAGGCGGCCTTACGTCAATACGCAAGTAGTTTTTTCTTCCTCCCGCGTTTTTAATTCGGGAGGTGCACGTTATATACAGAGGTGCGTTATACAGAAGAAAATACGATCTTCAGATCTTTGGGGCTTGCCGAGTGCACAGTGTCGTGAACAAGCGCACCGAAACTTCGATAATGGCTAACTGATAACTGCAACTGAAAGTGACGAAGGTCCGGACTACCGTGGCTATAAGTGAACGACAAGAAGCCTCCACATCGTTTTATGGCTTTATTACCTTTAATCTACAGCTGTGTTAGCTGCGCACCTTCGGATCATATTCAATATTGATGGAAAAGACGACAGCGACTGCGGTTTCCTGAGCAGCAGTTGCAACAAACAGTAGTTCCGTTTACAATCTGCGCGTGCTGTGCTGCCCGTGCACACGACTTGAGAACTCCGCCATTGCTATCTTTGTTTGCATCATTACGGCAACAAATATTGCGTTGAGTCGGTGAGTGTTGACTGCATGCGTAATTTTGTGGTAGCCGATGACTTGCGACACGATCGCAGCATTTGTAGCAGAATGCAGTTGTGATGGGGCTAGGTGCCCGCGCTCGCGTGTGTGCCTTCAAGACGAGTGGCTGTCATTCACGATAGCATTGCTAGTGATGACGAGCGTTAGTTTTGTTTTGAGCGCAACATCAAAAACATATGGTGAGGGTTCATGAAGATGGCGCGCGGCCCGTACGTACATAAAATCCACTGGCAGCATCATGGTGGATGAGCGAGTTGTCGCCGAGCATCTTAATGACGATAAACTTAGTGGGATGTGCGTGCGATAGCAGAGAGCTTGTCTACAATGAAGACACGGTTGTTGCGATACGGCCGTGCACTCTGGATGTCACGAGCCATTGCGAAATGGCCGAGTTGGTAGCAGAATTTTGCTGCAACACTAGGCAAGTTCCTTTTTCTTATGGGGCACTACTCGCAAAACTTCGTTAAAGCTGGAATATTCAGGAAAAGTATTCGTTGCGACGAGACACTTTTTCAATTGTTGACTAGGGCAGTTTACGGGGAATCGAAAATAATTCGTTGTGGTGGAAATTTCATTGTAGTGAATTTCGTTAAAGCGGGATTCGACTGCAAATCCAGAATACATAGCAGTAGTCTGAATCTTGTTTCAATCAGTTTAATACAAAAAGCTCACCCTATCAGCTAGAGGTACGAGTAGATCATCTAAAAGAAGCACTGTATGAAGTGGTGTATCTAACCTATAAATAAAGTACGTTGAAGTGTGTTTGTCGTCTGCTTTAGGACTTGAAATCAAAAAATATATTACTACGAATCATTCACTGCACTTATTGCAAGTTGGCTATGTTAGCTGCTCCTTCTCTGTCGGTAAATAATTTTATGTCCCGTAAGTGAGCTGTACTTGAAGTCAATTTGCTATCATTCATGTCTTGGACTGCTCGCTCCACATTGCTCAGAGTGACAAAATCATGATAATGCTGCTATTACAGGCTGGAATTTCAAGATCAACTTTACTATTGCAATGATTTTTATTCGAACAGAGGAGTCGCAACGAGGTCGCGACGGAAAAATGGGCGAACGGCAAGTCTGGCAAAGGCGGCACAGGTTCTCGCGCAATCAGAGCACGAGTTTTTTCGTTCTCTTTGGAAGGCGCATACGCGTTAGTGCGTATGCTCCACTAAAAACTGTACGATGTAAAACAAAAAACTGTACGACGTACAAAACGTCTTGGATGACGACGCGCGCCGTACACACAGCCGAGGGATGAATGCGTTGCGCGCTAGCCGTGGACAGCACCATGCCACAGAGAGATGTGGTCACTTTCTTCAGTTTCCTACAAAATTTTGGGTTCATCACAGAAACGGCAGCCCCGGTATCAATTAACGCTAATGTGGCGACTCCCTCAACATCGACATCAACAACATTTTGCAGCAAAAATGGAGGCCTTGGGAATTGCGCACAAGTTGCAGTTCTTGCCTCCAGAACTGCACTGTTTAGTTTCCCTCCTCAGGACGTGGTCGACGACACATAGGCAATGGTGATCGGCGACGAGGTGATGGGAAACGAGCAGTCGATGGGCGACGATTCGAGTCGGAGTGCCTCTGTTCATATGCAGACGTGGTGGTCTGCTGCGGTGCGTAGGTAGGAGTTCCGAAGTATGCGTGCGCAGGTGTGGGACGGCGGCGACAGAAGCGTGCAATGTGGTGAGCGATGCCACACGCGAAACAGATAGGGCGATTGTCTCGGATGCGCCACTCATTAGATGGACGGAAAAAGCGAGGTGGGGGCCTGTAAACTGGAGGCGAGGCCGGAGGAGGTGGAGCCGATAAGGCGACTGGATGCGGTTGGGGACGCGCGACTACACCTGCGTAGCTGAGAGCTGAAGGCGGCGCAGTTGGTGCGTAGCCGGCAGTTGAGAGATCAGATGGCACGGAAGTGCATGGGTAAGGGGCCGGAACTGTAGGGAGGGCATCGCAAATTTCAGTGCGTATGGCCTGCTGCAGTGTCGAAGGGAAGCTTGTGGTGGGCGCGTCGCTATGGGGCAGCAGGGAGAGCTGTCGGGCGACTTCCTCCGTGATGAAGTCTTTAATCTGGTTCGACAGAGTTCCTTGGCGAATGTTGCCATTTGCAAGTGCGACGGCCGAGATCGAATCTGGTAAAGGGACACTCTGTCGGGCGATGGAACGCTGACGACGCAATTCATAGAAGCTCTGGCACAGGCTTACGAGGACTGCCACCATTGTCGGGCTTTTCGCCAGCAACATCTGGAATGCGCCATCCTCGATGCCCTTGAAAATCTGTCGAATTTTCTCTTCTTCAGGCATGGATGAGTTAACACACCTGCAGAGGTCGAGCACATCCTCGATATAACTAGTAAACATCTCGCCAGGCTGCTGGGCTTGGTGGCGCAGACACTGGTCAGCGCGGAGCTTGCGGACCTCTGGTCGGCCGAACGCTTCGGTCACGAGGGTCTTAAAGGTGGACCAGTTGGCGATGGCGGTTTTGCGGTTGGTAAACCATAGCTTAGCGACGTCAGCCAAGTAAAAGATAACATAGGCAAGCTTAGAGTCGTTGTCCCATTTGTTGCTGGCACTTACGCGTTCGTACAAGGAGAGCCAGTCTTCGACGTCTTGCTCACCACTGCCGCTGAAGATTGGTGGGTCCCGCTGACGGGTAGCGCCGGGGCAGGTCGACAGGGCAGCCAATGGTGCTGGCTGTGCTGGGATGGGCTGGTTGGCGACTGCGTCAGTCATTTTGTACGGTGGTCTTTCGGCCAACTTGCGAGAGCAGAGCTCCAGGTCTGCTTAGGGATCGCAGCAGCCTCCACCAAATGCGATGATGTTTTTTCGAACAGAAGAGTCGACGAGGTCGCGACAGAAAAATGGGCGAACGGCAAGTCTGGCAAAGGCGGCACAGGTTCTTGCGCAATCAGAGCATGGGGTTTTTCGTTCTCTTTGGAAGGTGCATATGCGTTAGTGCGTATGCTCCACTACACTATTAATTATACCATAGGTTATCCGTGGACCATACATGCCAAGTTTTAACTATACATGCAAGAAAGCCTGGAAATTTTTAAGAATTCATTTTTCTTTGTTAGATACAACATTAACAAGAACTAACAATAAAACCAAGAAAAGTATAGGAGATGTTATTTCTAGTAGAGATAAAAATGAGAAGAAATCAAAGGGGACAAAAAGATAATTTGCCCCCAGTAGGAACTGAACCTACAACCTTCGTATCAGCACGGCTCGAGCGACACTGAGTAAATAATCCCAGGTTAAAATTAAAGTGCACAGATATACCCAATAAAGTGAATGGGAGGATGGCTGCCACCGTGGCTCAATTGGCAGGGCATCGGACGCATCATTCAAAGGCTGTAGGTTCCATTTTAGCCGGCAGCAAGTTATCTTTTCATCCTATTTATTTTGTCCAACTTTATATTCTTAACAAAACTGCTACAAACAAAAGCACCTGTACTTTACTAGGCTTGACTGACTTTTAGTTTTCATTAATGCAAGAAGCCCATGGCATAGCTACGAGAAATTCAATGACATTTGTCAGTTCTCCGATAAACTATCTTTCGTCACCAATAAAAATGGGTATGAAAAGCCACTAACTCATGGGCTTCCGCTGTCCATTTGGCAGAAGAGGCTCAGGGGGTCGCACAAGAGAAGGTACTCCTTGTGCCAAGTTCTTCATGTGGAATGGAGAAAGGCGTCCACAAGTTGACAGTACCATAAAGACGGGCATTGGAGGCCATGACTCTGTCTTGGCTGTTCAAAGATAATGCATACAAAGAAAATAGATTTTATACACAGATAAAAAAATTTAGAAAAGAAGACTCCCGGCAAAAAAAAATTAAATTTTAAGTGTGTACATGTGAAGACCGTGATATGACTTTGAGGCACTCTAGTAGATCGCTCCACATTGATTGTCACCGTCTGGGTTCTTTAATGTGGACGTATGTCTATGCACAAGGATATGTTTTCATTTCACAGCCATCAAAATGTGGCTGGCATGCAGGAAGCCAAGAACGATTGATTGATATATGGGGTTTAACGTCCCAAAACCACCATATAGTTACGAGAGACGCTGTAGTGGAGGGTTCCGGAAATTTAGACCATCTGGGGTTCTTTAACGTGCACCAAAATCTGAGCACACGGGCCTACAACATTTTCGCCTCCATCGGAAATGCAGCCACCGCAGGGAAGCCAAGAACGTCACCTTGCGATCAGCAGCATGACTAGATTGCTGCTAAAGCTGCACATATCACTCCACTGTATTCGGCTCACCATACATTTAAAACAGTTGAATCTAGCATGCCATCCTAGTTATGATGAGCTCTCACAAAATTCCATGTCCAGTGCTACAACAGGCTGTCACTGCACCAGCAGAGGACTTCGCCACAGCAACCATATGAAAATTGTGGAGAGAGTAGGGATACACACGCCACATTTACAGGACGACTCACCATCGCTTTACATGTTATACACATGAAGAATGATAAGACATTTTGCCAATGCATGCAAACGTGGTCAGCAGAAGTAACTATAAACAATGGAACGAGCCATATGGCACTAAACAGGTAAGTTTCATCATGTTACTGAAAAATACGTAACAGCTGTCCTCCAATACAACACTGCCAAATTCTATATGAGCCTTGCGTTTATGCCACCATGAGTAATTACTGTATTTACACTCATAATTTGCACACTTTTTCTTTCACGATTTTGGAGCTCCAAAAAGGAGGTGCTCAAATTACACAGACACTTTGTGCATGCATACAAAACAAAGTGCAATACATAGTTTATACAGTTTCAATTGGCGCGGTTTATACATTAAAAAAGAAAATAAATTGGAGCACAAATGCAGTCTAATCGCTTATTTAACAGTACTATCGTGTACTTTAACCAGCCAGACCCAGTCATGCACAGTCTAGTTGGCCCCACTGGTCAACAGGTACAATTAAGAATCATTGTCGTGGCCACTAGCCGTCACCTCCTCCCAAAGCACGTCGTTCTGTGTTCCGTCAAGTGAGTTTGAGTGCCCCATTTTCTTGACACACTTCTCAACAATGCTGAGAACCACCAGGTCCCATGACAAGGCGATACCGTAGAACTTAAGCTCTCGCACATAACTAAAAAGGTCGTCTTCAAGAGCAGAAAACTTGTATTAGCAAATGTGCACTCTTCTGCTTTCTCCCGTACCAAATGTCGCAAATTTAAGAACTCCACACTTAAGTGCTCGGCGACGGCGTAGTTCTTGTTTTGTTTTTTTTTTTTTTTTGCTAACTATATAACAGTGAGCTTGAATTTCGCCGTATATATAATTATTGTAGCCTATCGCGAGGAACAGTAAAAATGCGACAGACAGATGATGAAACCTAAACTTCAGAATTCAACCAAGCATGCGTTGCAGCCCGGAAGCAGAGAACGAAAAGAACAGTGGGTGCGACAGGCTCCCGCACCCACGCCTCCATTGTAGTAAATAAAATAGTTCATGCCATGTCACGAGCGTGCATTCTTATGGTGGAAGAGAGGAGTAGATAGAGGGAGGCAAACGCTCGAGCAGTTACGATGAACCGTCAACAGGTTCGGGTGTTCAGGTACAGTATTCCGGGAGCACAGTTCGGTGGAAGTCCTCGAAAGAAGGAATGTCACACTTGGAGCCTGTATCTTGTATGGTTTTTGTAGGGGCACACCCGTCTAAAGCATTCAGAGGTCACAGTTCTTTTTGTGCACGCACCCACGAGCTGGCTCGGGCAGGTCGAGAAGCGTAAAATATGCGAGTCTATCTATTTATAAAAAGTAAGACTGGCTAAATATTACGGGTGCGCAAACTATGCGAGGGCAAAAATTACGCGAGTAAGTACCATAAATTCCTTATGTACAATATGGTAAAAGAGAATGATGCATTAATCAATTTCCATATTGTATGGCTGACCCTGATGGCAAGCTTTACAGCTTTTGACTGTAATGAATCCTCGTTGCCTTATTTGAAGCAACTGAAATGCCGAATTTTCATTTTTACAAAACAAAAATGTGGCTTTACTAGTCAGTCATGCTCTATCACCACATGCTCTAAAACCATGCCCTATTAAAGGGCCCTGCAACACTCTTCCAAGTAACCATTGAATGGCTTCGTTAAAGAAGTTTATTGCCTCACAGACCAACTGCTACAAACATTATTAGAAACCATCAAATACGAGCAAAGTTAAGAGATTTGTCGTACGCTGCGAATGCTAACTCTCTTCGCTCATTTTGATGAGTGCTGGAAGCTAAGCAGGAATGCGCGACACAAGAAAAATAAGTCACGTGTCGCACGCATCATGACATTTGAGACTTTTCTTCCTTCTTCCCCTCAACTATGCACCTCAAAACTATGGCCCCATTAACTAAGAACCTCACACAGCTCAAATCAGACAATGGCCATGAATTCGAATATATTGCGTGGTCACTTGAATATATGGCATCATTTGTTGACAGTAGAGAGAACAATTTCTAGCTAACTTAGAGAATTAGTTGTAAATGGTGGGCCGCGTGCTGCGCTACAATGTTAGGCTCGATGTTCTCAGGAGCCTCCACTACAGATCAGCAGCATTTTCTGACCATTTTGACAAAGCGTCGCAGGGCCCTTTGATGTTCTTTGGACGAGATTTCCTGACAGGAAAGGCTCCACAAGTACCACATGCATCAAGAATCACCACTTAGAACCTACAAGTGCACCAAACACCCAACAGTACCTGATGCAAAAAGTACACACGTCAGGTTAAATTTAATGTCCTGCTGTGGGCTCCATTCCTGTCAAGAATTGCCTAGCATTTTCAAGCAGTATGAGAATAAAGTAGAAGCACCCCTGCACCACACTTTTCATGCTACCCAGATTCATGTTCACTGAAAGCTAAGAATGCTTCAAGCTTTCACGAAAAGTGAAGGTAAGATCACTTTGAGTATTAAAAAAAGCTACAGTAAATGAGTTGGACAGAATAATGCTTACTTGTGATGTTGCGCTGGGCATTGTAAGACACTGCTATTCCCAGAGGGAATGTCTCCTCTTTATTCTTCAGTGGCACCTCGGCTCTCCCATGGCTATCCAGCTCCCAGAGCTCCCATTGCATCTGCAACCACGGCAAAAGCAATTCTGTCAGTTGCACATTTCACTACACTCCTCCTGTACAATGCAGCTTCTGAATAGACCCCTCATCCATCACGACTGCTTGAAAATCAGAGCCCAATACACCACACACACATATATCATATCTTCGAGGACAGCTGTAGCCTTGCAGAAGAGAAGGCTGCCCGCTCCACCAACAACCCCCCCATGTTCCCGAATTTCCCATTTCTTATAATCTCTGAGGAACATTAATAGGGTAGGGTTCTGGTTAACTCAACAGGCAGCTACATTTTAAGCGCACGAGTATTATAGTTTTTCGTCCTCCCAATACTAGAGTCATGGTGTGAACCTGCAACCTCGTCCCCAGCAGGAAGGCACTGAGCCACCAAGCAAGTTTTCAACATAACAAAATATTCATTACGCCAGGTGTTAAAATACTGCGAAGACAAATCAGAGGAACAAGTGTGTCGCTTTTTGGCCCCTTTGCAGCAAGATGCACACTAAGAGCCCCTACTGATGATGAATGTTACAGTAAGCAGTCGAGAGATGCATGCAAAAATAAATAAGAAACACAGTTGCATCTGTATTGTATACAGGGCATTTTCAGTTCATCACATAATATGTATTTCACAATATTCCTTCAAGACTGACTGCTAACAGCATCTCACAGACAGAGCAAGGCCACATCATACTGATAACCATGGAACTAGCATAAACATAACACACTGACGAACATGAAATTTTTCAAAAATAAATAACATATCAACTGATCCATGAGCAAATAAGATAAAATTATTTACTTTCTAGAAGATAAAGGACTCATGGCAACAGTGTATGGCTGCAGTGCCTACCTTGTCTGCCGATTTGCATCCAAAAACTGCAGTTTCAACAGAGTTTCTGGACATGCACATGAGGATGCCCCTGAAAAGGAAAAAAAAAAGAGAGAGGCAAGAAAGAAAAACAAGATGTTCAAATCACATGCAGATAAATAAGCTATGATTAAAACGTATCATCCTTCAATGCATACTTGAGAAAAAATACAGTTTAATTTTGGTATACACCAAACACACACAATCCCTAAATACCTTTTATATACTTTACATTTACTTATAAGGTATACACTAGCTGTTGCATGTTCATATCTGCCAAAAGACTAGACTTTTTTTAAATGATAGTCTATTACATAGTACCTTTGTGGTTTGAAGGTTTGACTACACTGATTTTCAGCTTTTTGCAGATGTGATTTTGTATCCACATTTCACTTTAAAAATGAAAGTTCACAAACAGAGCAAAACCCCCTTTTATCATTTTTCCTTTCTTCACACATAATATGTACCAATTCCCTTGCCCAAGTTCATGCAGAAAGAAGAACTCTGCTAGAGGCATTACAAGCATCTTTCAAATGTACTACAGTCAGTTCCGAATATATCGAACTCACAGGGCATCGCGAAATAGTTCGATATATCAATAATTTGATATAAGAAATATGTATATTTTAGGCTTATATTGATGCATTGCAACTCTCAAAACCGCTTTCGGAAATCGTAAGAAGAGTTAGCATGATGATTCACTCACAGTATGCAAAGGTGACAACTGCTCTTGCAAGTCACACACTTCATTTTGCATGAATATAGTCTGTAGACTTGTCGTTCCCTTTGTGTGCCGTCATGTTCATAAAATCATCCTCATTAAGCAAACACTGAAGCTTTCAAGCTAAGCGAATTCAGCCCCTTTAACCACAACAGTGGTGAACGCCGATGCAAGCTCTGTAGCGCGATGAAACGTTGTTTAGCGGCAGCGTTAGCATCTTCATAACTGCACGGGTCCACTTTCACGACGCTGGAAGTTGCGTCAACCACAATACAGTAAAACCTGCTTATAACGAACCTCCATATAACAGAGTTTTTCTATTTCCCGCCGTTGCTCCATAGAAGCGCATGTATTTCCAAACTCTATGTAACAAACTAACAAATGGAGACAACTTTGAAAAAACTAATTCTCCCCTGTACAATCTAAGAATTTCGCGCCAGATTTTGGCATTTTGGAACGAGCATGCATCTTCCACAGGCGGCGGCACTCATGGTGCACTAGGCGAAAGCGGGTGCTCGCTATTGCGCACGGGTGAGCGCGAGGCGGTCAGACTAATGTGCTTCCCCCCCCTCTAAACAAAAAAAAAATAGTTTTGTGTTGGCAGTGTCACACAAAAGAAATGTTTTCCGTGATATCCGTGTATGTGTCTATGTCATTCGCTCTTCGTTTTCGACCCCGTGTGCACGTGCATGGTTTCACTACGCATGCATGCCGTGACTCCCGACGACGTTCAGCTTTCTTTTTGCTGTTTTTTAAAGCGTGGACAGCCACGTAATCACCACAAAGGGTATGTTAGATTAGGCGCTGATAAAAACTCTCTAAGACCACGGTGACGACGGATCTTCGGAGGTCGACTCATCACGCGCTTTGGTCTTGCGCCGCACTGTGAGTTTGCAGACTCGTAGCTTTCTCGATTAGCTCATTAGTTCTGGCAACAACACGATGGCGCGTTGAATGCTATGCAATGAATGGAATAACGAAAAATTGCAATGTTATATGAAGTAAGGCTGGCCGACAACTCTTTTGGATCTGATCTCTCGGAACTCCAACAAAACGCTGGAGAGAACAAATACGACTGCTTTGAAAGGAAATGTGCACGACACCACGAGGCCGCCGAGTCACTTCGCATTCATGTGATATTGGTGCTCCTGGCATTGGGCCCCTTTAGAAAGTCTTATGCCTACAACAGATCGAGCATCACGTGCCAGCACACTCACAAACGCTGCGCAACCAATGAATTACACTGCCTTTTACACGTGAAGAGGGATGGAAACTTGTTAGAATGCCGTTGAAAAATGAGCAATCTTTGTCAGAATGAACTTTCTGGGCTTTAACCTGGCGCAGCGTTTGATATATACATATAACTTTAGGGCAGGTGACAAATACACCTGCCCTAAGTTACCTGACGAATGAAGGGTTTAATAAATCGAAATGATGATGAAACTTTGATCATCTTCAATACAACAAAATATTTCAGAAGTATTTACTATATTTTAAATCAAAAAGAAGGTACAATAATAAACTGCTACCTACATTCCACATACACAGAGCAGTCTTCGAGTTCCTTGCTTGGAAACCTTGTTTGGTGTGCATATATTTAGGATTGGCAGAAGTCTATGCAAGCATAAGCTTTTGAATCATTGCCCATTCCAAGCAAACAAGGCAAATATTAAATTTATAAAGAACATTATCGATTCATTTATCCCGGCTGCGGCGGCTGCATTTCCGATGGAGGCAGATATGTTGTAGGCCCGTCTGCTCAGATTTGGGTGCACGTTAAAGAACGTTAAAGAACCCCAGGTGGTCGAAATTTTTGGAGCCCTCCACTACAGCGTCTCTCATAATCATATGGTGGTTTTGGGACGCTAAACCCCACATATCAATTATTGATTCATTTAGGCTGAGTGCTGCAAATGAAGCCAGAGTGGAGGCATTTTAGACACTAGGATTCGCAATAAAGCATATGCACAAATGCATTCAGTACAAGCTAAGCAACTACTCACCAATCTGGCTGATGGTAAAGCCAAAAGCGTTCCTTCGGATGCTCCCCAGTCTGCAGGCATGGTTCTCCAAAATCAGTATAAGTAACAGGAGATGTTTTCTGTACATACAAACAAATAAAAGCATTTTCAAAAAAAGTGCTAAAGAGCAGAGCTGTGCAACAGCAAAATTTTGAGTGCAAAGTGAATTCAAATATTGAAGCTTGAGTGCGAATCGAATCTAATATTTTTCATATATTTTTAGGAATGTTTTTCGAGTACTTCGAAGCAAAATTGCAGAATAAAAAAGTTGGAGAGCATTCCTACACATACTTATGAGACAGCAACAAGAAAGTGTTTATTTTGGGTATGTTTACGAAGTGCTGGCAGGGCGGTGTTACATAGTTCTCAACAAGAATGAGGCAATGCAGAAGTCGAATTGTATTTATGTACATGATGTGGCGCAACAAAAATGTTGCTGACAACATTTTACACGTGAAAGGCAAAGATCTCATTTTGTCAGCCTCTGCTCCTATCAACTTCTGCGAAAGCCCAACTGATGTGAAGAAGGGCGAGCTCCCTTCAAGTCTAGAGCTGCAAATATGCCTCACAGATTTGCATAGAGACATAGAGAGACATCTCGTCAATGAGCACAACCCAACGCTGTTGCGCGCGAAGCGAATGGGCCAGACAGCAAACGCCATCGTCGTATTTGAATGAAGTGTAGTGCCACACTATGTCTACTACAATAGAACTGAGCATCGTTGCGTGATATACAAGAACAATAGGAGACGTGCTACTCATGTAGCAGACTTGGACACAGATCCGATGTTTGTCCCAACCCAGAGAGCAAAAGATGCAGAGGCTGTGGCTGAGAGGATCCGCTGGAAGACCACCAATGCGAACCGAGATGTCGACTTTGCGGCAAAGGCCACCAGATCGGAGAAAGAAAATGTCACGCAAAGTACAGGACTCCTTACCTTGTCAAGAAACGCCAGTGGGAACGGAGGAGACAAGAGGAGGAAGAAACATTCAAGGCTCAAAGTCACTACAGGCAAGGAATAGACTTTTCATTGCCAGAGAGAGAGGTGCAAGGGCGAGCCAAGTACCGCTCCCGTTCTTGCGCCCGCTCTCGGTCGAGGCACACTGAGCCACAGCCCACGCCTGGAGCCAGAGCAAACACCAGACCTAGGTCTCGGAGCAGGTCTATTGTGAGGACGAGCCTTGCGACAATGCGAGCTCCCGGAAACGAAGACACGAATGAGCGACCCAAAGCTTCCCAGGTGAGCAGGGTGGAAACCGCCTCTGGGGCGCGCGCGCGGGTCGGGACTGCCACTATTAACAGGGAGAGGGGCCATGAAATTTTCATGCAAATCCAAAAAAAAGGCTCGAGCAATTGGAAAACAATAATGCCAGATACATGCATGTTATCAAGGAACTCAGGGAAGAAAACGCTAAACTAAAGAAAGAGGTAGCTAAAAAGGACGTCATCGTTCAGTGCGCAGAGAATGCAGAGGAAGCCCAAGCTGGGGAGGAAACGGTATCCTTACCCGCAAAACGCAGGGATTTGGAATTAGATCCTTACCCGCAAAACGCAGGGATTTGGAATTAGATCCGGCTCAAGCCGAAAGTAAAACGCAGAAGAGTGAGGACAAGATCCGGAAAAGACTGGATAGATTAGAAGCTCAATTAGAAGAAGGCATAAAGACAATGTGAAAAGAAATAGAGGAAGGAAAGAACATGCGTAAGAACGAAATGGAGGATATGCTGAGCCAACTCACCAACGCGATGCAGCAGATAATCTCTACAATGCAGCGAATTCAGCAGCAGCTCACAGCCCTCCAGATGCGAGTCGAAACTGTAGAGTGGAGGTTGCCAGCTAGCAACTGCGGACCCTTTAAACCCACAGGAAAACCGTACAACAGGCCAGGAGAGACGGAGACGAAGGATAACACTGGAAAACACTAATATTGGTAGGCACGATGGCTAGACACGACTATAACACTTATAAAATCTGGCAATGGAATCGCAGAGGATACTCCAGAAAGCGTGGGAATCTGCGACAGTACCTTATTAACAACGAACAACCAGACGTGATACTACTGCAAGAGACAAACATGAAGGCTAAATTATCGGGTTATAGGTCCTTTAACGAGACTACTTCTCGGGACAAACCGGCCGTTGCGACGTTAGTAAAACGCAACCTTACAGTAACACCACAAGAGATTAAGCACAACACCATACCGCACTTGCTATTGTAAATAGTGCCAACGAAGAAACGGGATGATAGTCTTTTCATACTTAATGTGTACAGTAGCCCTCGACGATAGCACCGATTCCTAGCGCTACTCAAGAAAGTGGTTCGCATTGCGAGTAATCGCGCTGTGCTCGTGGCAGGCAACTTTAACGCCCATCATGCAGCGTGGGGATACAAATATGAAACTCGAAAAGGCAGGAATATGTGGGAGGACTCCCAACAGGAAGGTTTAACTCTCGCTACCGATCCTTCTGCACCTACGTGAAGAAGGAACAGCGTATGTTCCGATACATCACCTGACCTCGCATTTGTTAAAAACATCGGAAACCTCGGTGGACTAACACACAAGAGGACTTAGGCAGTGATGATACCATTATAGAGATCCAAGTCGACGCGGGACCGCGCCAGCCGACAGCCAAACGACTTACACTGGTGGAATGGGACAGGTTCAAACGGATCAGGAACGAGGGGAGTAACTCAGTGGAAAACATTAACGACATCGAAAGATGAACAGAAATGCTGAGGCGGGACGACGCGGCAGCTACGCACGAAATCCCGCCCAACGTGAACCTTGAGGTCTTGGACAGTAAGCTATTACACATGCGGCAGGCTAAGCGTAGTCTACAAGCAAGATGGAAGACTCAACGACACAATAGGACCCTGCGCAGGCGGATAGCCAAACTAAGCCGAGATATCGAGGAATACGCGTTCCAGCTTTGCCAGTCACAGTGGGAGGAAACTTGTAACAGCATGGAAAGTCAGCGCGGAGTTTTCGCTAAGACATGGAATCTCCTCAGGTTCCTACTGGACCCAGAGGAAACCAAAACGGTACATAGGCAAAAAGTTAATAAGATAATACATCAATTCAATGGCACCAATGAAGAACTGTTGAACGAGCTCAGGGCGAGGTACAGAAACCAAGACAGACCTCTAACTCACTCCGACTACGAAGGTACGGCAAACGACGATTTAGATAGATTGCTCAGCGTTGCCAAAATTTGTGCAGCGTTGCAAAAGCTGAACACTAAGTCTGCACACGAACCGGACGGGGTTACTAGCAAAATGCTTAGAAATTTAGATAATGCATACATAGCGCAACTCACTGATTTCATTAATGAATGCTGGGAAAAGGGACGGATTCCTAGGCAGTGGAAACTGCCCGCATAGTAATGATACCCAATCCCGGAAAGCGTCTAGAGCTGAAAAATTTGAGACCGATTTCGCTGACGCCCTGCGTGGGCAAGGTCATGAAGCACGCAGTCCTCGCAAGGCTTACCAGCTACCTCGAGGACCGCGACCTGATCCCTCACACCATGCTAGGCTTCAGAAAAAACCTTTCTAAGCAGGATACCATGTTTTAACTTAAGTACCAAATAATAGATAGCACGACCAGATCCGCCAAAGCGGTCTTAGGCCTAGACCTCAAGAAGGCGTTTGACAATGTCAAACACTCTACAATACTGACGCAAATAAAGAAATTGAAACTCGGTAAGCGGACGTACGACTACGTGCGTGATTTTCTCATGAGCGAACAGCAAGGATCACGCTGGGAGAGCTCGAGTCTGGGGAGATTGAGATGGGCAGCGCCGGCACCCCTCAGGGTTCGGTGATTTCGCCTATGCTCTTTAACCTCGCACTCATAGGGTTACCGGTTGAATTGGAGGAGATTGGCGGGCTCTGCCACAGCCTGTACAACTACGACATCACCATGTGAGTAACGCAGGGATGCGTCGGCCAAATGGAACAGACACTGCAGAGAGCCATCTTCGCCGTTCAAGGCTACTTAGAATGCACAGGCCTTACCTGCTCCACTGAGAAATCGGAGCTACTGGTCTACAAACCTACGCGCAGGGGTCGCAAATCGAGAGACAACGAGCAGAGTGGAGAGAAGGTGGAGGGAGAGATAAGGCTGACAACTGCGAAGGGCCACGTCATTCCCACCGTAGAGAGCATACGAGTATTAGGCTTGCACCTCTCTGCTAACGGGCACAATAGCGAAACCATTCGTAAGTTAGAAAACGGAGTAGGCCAGACTACCAGACTGCTAAAACGCACTACGAACAGGCACAGTGGCATGAAAGAAGGCAATACGATTCGTCTCGTGTGCGCCTTCGTCCTAAGTAAAATTACGTGCGTTGCTCCTTACTTGAGGTGGCAGGTTGCCAAGAAAGAAAAATTAGAACGCTTAATCAGGAAAGTTTTTAAGCAAGCCTTAGGATTACCAAAAAACACGAGCACGGCGAAATTGTTGGATCTAGGATTGCACAATACGCTGGAGGAATTGGTAGAAGCGCACAACATAGCTCAATTCGAACGACTTTCAAAAATGAAAACGGGCAGGTACATCCTCGAACAACTAGGCATAGGTTATCATATGCAACACGGAGAAAAGGCAGACGTGCCTGCGAGGATGAGGGACAGAATAGCGGTCCTGCGTTACCGAGAAATATGCACCCCGAGTATCACACTGGTAGGAGAAACAGACAGGCGCAGGATTTACAGAGGAAATTCGGCAAGTGTAAAGAAGCGGTCTCCGTTGACGCGGCTCGTTACGCGCGCAAGCGCGGCTTCGTGGCTGCGGTGGTCGACCACGAAGGCAAATGCAAGACGAGCGTTACGGTTAAAACGCAGCACGCAGAGACGGCCGAGGAGGTCGCCATCGCCCTTGCGGTGGCCATCACTGAGGCCGAAATAGTGATCAGCGACTCGCAGGTGGCGATACCAACCTATGCTAACGACCGGGTATCCCAGGAGGGAGGCGCTGCTAATATTGACGATCAACGCGAAAAGAATACGAAACAAAAATGATACAGTTGTGATATGAACACCTGCCCTCTGGCCGGCAATGAGGCGGCTCAAGAGATC